CTGGGCAAGTTATTTCACCTCTGAGACTGTTTCCTTATCTGTGAAATGTGGTGATGAGTGTATCTGTGTATCAACACACACACATTTCTTTAAACAATGCAAGGGGCCAGGCGTGGTGGCTCATGCCTATAATCCTAGCACCCTGGGAGGCCGAGGTGGGCAGATTGCTCGAGGTCAGGAGTTCGAAACCAGCCTGAACAAGAGAGAGACCCCGTCTCTACTATAAATAGAAAGAAATTAATTGGCCAACTAATATATATAGAAAAAATTAGCCGGGCATGGTGGTGCATGCCTGTAGTCCCAGCTACTCGGGAGGCTGAGGCAGGAGGATTGCTTGAGCCCAGGAGTTTGAGGTTGCTGTGAGCTAGGCTGATGCCACAGCACTCTAGCTCAGGCAACAGAGTGAGACTCTGTCTCAAAAAAAAAAAAAAACAATACAAGGGTCTAAACCCCCAACAGTGATACCTGGCACAAATACTTTTGGGGGATTTGGAAGGTTTTTTTGAGGAGATATTCTAATCTTTATTTCATGTTAAATTGCAGAGCTACCATTAGGATTCAGATGAGGCATTGGTGTCTAAGATGGTGACAGTCTGGGCTTTATCTCTGTGAAATACCTAAACTAAAAAAAAAAAAGTGTCCTTGTGATTTTTTCCAACTCTGTCACTGATCCATTCATGTCCCTTCCTCACTACCTTCTCCTCTTCTCTCCTTTTGCCTCAAAGAAAACTAATGGAGCCATACAGAAAGCTCCAAGATATAACTGACCTTGTACACCTTTAATTGAGGACAGAATTTGCTAAAGAGCATCCAAAAACCCACCAGTGGTTTACTTTACAATCTGCGTCCTGGCTAGACTGGCTGTTGGCTGTATAATTTGTCTAGTTTTGTCTGGAGTCTTAGACTATTCAGCTGCTTCAGGGCAAAATCTTTTGGGGTGTCGTTAAATGGGATTGATAATTGGCTTCTGATGAATATTCATTGTGACTAATGACTTTGGGCGAATTTTACGCATACTATCTTTCTGTTCTCCCACTGAGTGAGATTTTGATAGGATCATTTTCCTCAACTTGCACTTCAGTTATATATTCACACTACCTTTTTGTTGACTGCACTGTAAATTATATACTTTTATTATTTTTAAATTTTGTATTCCATAAGGAATGAGCATAGGCTTTCAGGACCTTTCTTTTTAGAAACCTGGTTAAGAGTTATTTTTAAAATAAGTGGCCAGTCATACTTTACAGGATGTAATACAGTATTTCTGATTAAGTATAGCTATATAGTAAGACTTTTCTTATAATCAGCTTGGCCACTATTGTTATGTAAGGATACGTAGTTTGTGCCATTTAGTGTTTTGGAAAAGAGCCAAACATTTCACTGTTTTGTTTGTTTGTTTTCTTAAACAAACGGGTGAATACATTTTACCCCAATTGCAGAGATTTGACCCTTAGGAAACCCCCCAATGAAATGAACAAACATCTTAAAAGCTTGATTTTTTTTTTTTTTTTTAATGAAGAATAAGTTTTCAATCCTGGCATTTAGGTTGGTAGAATTTTTTGGAGGTAAGGAGACATGAAAAGAATATTGTCTGAAGATAAGATGTCTGCGGCTTTATTGCTTGAAATGTGATTTTGACCCAAACTAATTTAAGCTAAAGAGCCAGGTCATCAAGTTTTATCTCAACGAGGACCATTCCATTGAATGACTTTTTCAAAGAGAATTGCAAATTAATTCATGTGATGATGTTACCTTACGTTTGTATAGCGCCTTATAGATTTTGAAGTGCTTTTATTTATTTATTTGATGTGTTATTGAGTTAGGAAAGATGTATTATTGAATGAATGGGTGAATGAATAAATGACTTGGTTTTCCAAAAGTAGCACATTTGTGTGTCTAAGCATACTGTTATTTTGGAATTTGAGTCATATACCTCACTCTATGAGACTTGTGAAAATGTTGGTACCATAATGTTAAAGCCAAGCCACTGAACTATCTTTATATTATGAATATACTCTCAGCAAGAATTGTTTTTATTCAGGACACACTGCATTGCCTAGCACATATATATTTCTGCTGTGCCACTGAGAACATGGAGATGGACAGACACAGGGTCTTTCTGTACTTCACAGTCAGGGGACAAACATGCAGATAGTTACAGTCCAGTTAATAATGGGGACCTATATCCAGGGGAGCCAGGTAAGGCTTCAGAGAGGAAGGTAGTGCTTATATAGAGACCAGAGGGGGAACTTTGCTGAGACCAGTTTAGAGGGGACAGGTGGAAAGCGAAGGGAGGAAAAGGAGTATATAACTCCTGTGGTCCCCAACCCCTGGGCTGTGGACCAGTACCAGTGTGCGGTCTGTCAGGAACCACACTGCACTGCAGGAGGTGAGCATCTGTGGAGCAAGCGAAGCTTCATCTGTATTAACAGGCTCTCCTCATCACTCACATCACCGTCTGAGCTCCGCCTCCTGTCAGATCAGCAGTGGCATTAGATTCTCATAGGAGCACGAAGTCTACTGGAAACTGCTCATGGGAGGGATCTAGGTTGCACTCCTTATTAGAATCTGATGCCTGGTGATCTGAGGTGGAGCTGAGGCGGTGATGCTAGCACTGGGGAGCAGCTGCAAATACACATTATCATTAGCAGAGAGGTTTGACTGCACAGAGACCATAATAAGCCAATTGCTTATGGACTCATATCAAAACCTTAGCAATGAGTGGTGAGTGACAATGTTATAATAATAGAAATAAAGTATACAATAAATGTAGTGTGCTTGAATCATCCCGAAACCACGTCCCCCTCCCCTGTCCCCCAGTCCATGGAAAAATTGTCTTCCATGAAACCAGTCCCTGGTGCCAAAAAGATTGGGAACTGCTGTATAACTCTTCCTGAATCTGCAAAGGATTTATTCCAAGCATAAACTTGGAGAAGGCAGTAAGGAGTGTGGCAGGAAATGCTGCTCCAAAGGTGGACTAGAGCTGCTACAGGCATCCTGTGCCAGACATGCCCCTGAAGACTTCTGAGTAGGAAGTGCTGTGACCGGACCTGCGCTTTAGGAAGAGCACCCTGGCAGCTAGTTAAAGGATGAGGAGAGAGCTGGGGCCCAGGCCAGTGGAATCCTGCAGCCTGACTTCAGGGTGGAATCAGAGGAAAGTTGGTTCATTCTCGACTCAATACCAGCAAGGAGTTTTCATCTCTAAGAAGCCCTGAAGGGATTGGCCACATATATATATATGTCAGCCTGTTTTATATGGGAACCTACTAAACTAGATTGGGAAGGGGTGGACTGAACCTGCGAGCCTTGGCGGGTGCTGGGAACAGCGCTGGAGCATTTCCTGTTCGTGGTCTGTACCTGACTGCAAGAACAGGGTCTGGAGGGACAAGGGAGGGGCGGGGGCGGGTAGCGGCCCTGGCTTTAATACACAGCTCTCACGACTGTGAAACATCAGCAATATCCAATTTAAAGCTGTTCATGTTACACTAACCTCTGGGATTCTTTTAACTGGGCCTTGGCACATCACTCTTTCGCCACGTAAATGTCCTTCTGTCAGCAAAGGCCAGTTAACAGCTTCCAAAAGAAGGAGGGTCCTCAGGGGAACAGGCTTCCCTGAAACCAAAGAAACATTAAAGAAAAAAGACAGAAAGAAACATGTGTTGTTGGCTTTTGTCACTTCATAGCTATGTCTCCAAAGGTTGATTTTTTTTTTCCATTTTTTTTCACTATATTGAATTTTGTAGCAATCATCTCTCTTTATATTATCTTTGTTTCCTAAATTTTTAATTGTATCAAATACTGATTGTATGGTATCTCTAGCTCTTAAGAAAAAAAAAAGGTAGACAAAATAGAGGATATGTCAAAAAAATAGGGAGGGGAAGGATTAGTCAGTAAACAGTGGCAGAGCAATTGATTATGTGGAAAAAATAAATTCTCACCTCAGTCCTTAAACCTAAATTAATTCCAGATGGATTAAAGAGTTAAATGCTAGGGAAAATTTGGAGGACTTAGGATAAAAGCAGTGGAAGCTATCAGAAAGGAAAAGATTTGTCTACATAATTTCACCCAGAAATTCAAAGAAAATTAAGGATAAGTTATTTTCTAAAACATTACATTGCATATCACCAGTGATCACTTATAAATCAATTAAAAATTCTAATACTCATTTCTTTAAAAGTGGGCTAAGAATATGAACATATCATTTACCTAAGAAATAGTCAAACATATGACAAAACGTTCAGCCTCAGTCATGATCAGAGTAATTAAAACTAAAGTAAGATAGATAGAATTTGAAAACTGCCAATCACTATAATGCATAGTGCTGGAGAGGAGCAGAATCGTGATGTGTAGCTGGGAGGTGTAAACCTCCATCCTTCATTTATTATAGTAACATTTTCATGATACTTATGTATTTATTAAGTACCTTAAAATATTTATAACCTTTGTCTCTGAACTCTACTTCTAAGAACCATATATAAAAATTATTCACCTGTTGTGATTGTATAACCTAATGGTAGAAGAATAGGTAGATATAGTATGGGAAATTCTTTGAGTATCATTAAAACATATATTTCTAAGAATATTTAAAGATGTGAGAAAATGGCATCAAAATGTTAGCTTTCAAAAAAGCAAAAGAATGCTGTATTTACAATACTCCTAATTTTATTAGAAAAGGAAAATACAAGTGCTACATGTATAATACCCTAAAATGTTAATCTTCAGATGGTAGTGACTTATTTACTTTTATCCCTTTGTTTCCTAAATTTTCTATTGTAAGTATGCATTAGCTTTATAATCAGAAAAAAAAAATTTTTTTTTTTTTGAAGAGCAAACTCTTACTTAAGGATGATTGAATTAACTGAGAATTATTTCTGCAGATATTTCAGCTCATTCTGAATATGTTGATGAGTATATATTTAATTTTATTGCTGAAATCGACTGGCGCTGTTTCCTCCCCTTGATTCTTTCCGCTCTGAGTCTCTGATTTGCTTCTGTTGCAGTTAACGGCCTGCATCCACGGCTCTGCGGCGATGCTGTACCCCATGTACTGGCAGCACGTGTACATCCCCGTGCTGCCGCCGCATCTGCTGGACTACTGCTGGTAAGGCCACCGCCGACCCCGTCCTCCGTTTTTCCTCCTCCAGGAACTGGCTGGGCGTGTTAGGTCTGTAACTTGTTAAAATGCAGTTGGTGACTCTAAATTAAAACACTAACCTCAGAATAGCATCTGTTTTAGACCACCTGATTTCATGGCCCTTTGTTTTCCCAGTTTTCGTATATGTCATGACATTCTGAAGACTTCAAGAGAAGGGGTGATACTTTTCCCATTTCTCAGTTTGGGGAAACCAAAGCACCAAGAGGTTGTGTGCTTTTTTTTTTTTTTTTTTTTTTTAACCCAAAGACAAATTGGAAACTGGGGACAGGAACAGTTGAGATCCCCAAGGTCTTCAAGTTTCAGCCATGCCCTGGCATGTTCCTTAAGACTTGCTCTCAGCTGCGGTTTGGGAGCACAAGCCAGACAAAGCAAGACCCTCTGAAGTTTTCTGATGAGAATTTCACTGTTGGGCGAAACGTCTTTTAGTGGAAGGAAGAAGGAAAGGCTTTGGAGTCAGCTCTGCCACCTTGGGCGAGTCACTTGTTTCCTCATGTGCAAAACAAAGTTAAATACATAATATATAAAGATGAATTGAGGTAACAGAAGAAAAGACCTCAAGTAGAAAAGCTGACTCATGGTTGTTGCTCAGTAAATGTTTCTGCGGAAGCATCATCGTCCTCACTATGTGTCTCCAATAGATTACTAAAGAAGATTGTGTGACTGGTTTAGAGCCATTTTCCTCATGAATAATTTCTTTCTCTAGTTTAATGTGATTAAAGACATTGTCTCCAAACAGTTCAAGTCAGCAGGAGTCGATAAGAGAGCACAGCATTTTCATAGGGAAAGGCACTAACTGCCTGCCAGAAATTGAAAGCTTCAGGAGAAGGGGACCCATTTGAGGGGATCATAGCCCTGTTGCTTAAGAACAGGTGATTCAGGCCATTTACCACTGGTTCAGAGTGATTGAATCCAGGTCAGTCCACTTTTGCTGAGATCTCCAGCCTGTTTTGCAATGGTCTCACTGAATAGTTTCACCCAGGTAGCCAAATCATCTGGGAGCTTAAAGGCATTCCACAGTCACGCCTAATTTGAATGTGTTGGGCTCCCCTTCCTCCCAAGAAGCCGTGGGTATAACTAAAATGTAGCTCAGGGCCATCAGGTAGACATCAGTGGCCCTCTCTTGTGCGTAGCACTGAGTGAATTGGACTAATTCTTTCTTTCTTATATAGCTTTCTTATCAAGGATGAGATAAGAAAGACCTGATCTTACCCATACCTCGCTCCCACCTCTTATAAGATCAAGGGGCAATGTGTTTCCCACCGTGCGGAGTATGTAATCATGGCTTATTTTAAACTTCTTGATTCCTCAGGTAGCTGGGTCCCACATTTTGTTCACTATGTCTCTTTATACCTTGGTTTATTTTGGAAATTATATTTAGTTAATAGTGACTTCCAGGTACTACTGATCTAGATTTTATTTTTCATCTCTTCTGGAATAGGTAGGTAATTTTTGCAGATAGGAAAGGATAAGGATATAAACCCCTTATAACAAATTCACTTTATTACATTAAATATTGGTGTTTTCTCTTTTGATCAGGGAATATTTTCAAAGCCGGGGCCCATGCCAGGGGCCCTCCCCTTTATCGGGGTTTCCAGCATCTCCTCTTCCCTTGGAGATTCTGGAGAATGCTAAAGTCTCTCCAAGTGAAGATTGTTGGACTCCTGTCCCCACTGCCATGGCCTGGTGCAAACTCTACTCTGTCATTTGGCTTCTAGCACAGTACCTAGGAACCTTCATCACCTCCCTGTCACTGTCACCTGCCTGTCTCTGGGATCTTCATCACCTCCTATTTGTTTGGACGTCCACATCTCATTTCCATCTTATCCCCTGCCCTCTTCTTACTGCCACCAAGCTCACACTTGCTGTATTTTGTTATCTATAGAGAGGTACCCTCCCTCCCTCCCTCCCTCCCTCAGAGAGACCACGTAGTAGCACAAATATGGATGGGGCTGAGAGGAGGACTTCTGAGTCTCTGTCTCAGCTCCACTGTTGCCTAGCTGTGTAGCATAGAGTGACTTTGCCTCTCTGAATCTCTCCTTGTGTGTAGAGGGCTGAACAAACTGGAACTTATTCTTTAAATTGTTTTCAGGATGAAATAAAATAATGTATACACAAAAGCACTTTATAGACCGAAAGTGCTATCAGCCACCCAGCCGGGTGACACACCTGTGTCATTAAACCATTTGAAGCTCACTCAGTTTCCCTCTGATTCTGACTTCCTTCTCCTTGGCCACCTGTCCTCCTCCCTTCTGAATACCCTTCTGTCTTCACCATGGCTTCCCCCTCCACCCTTGCTGCTCCCTCTCAGTTCTACCTGTTCACTAACCCGCTTTGGCTCTTCTTGCCTTCCTGCCTGCTCTGGACCTTAGTGAGTTTTTTTCAGCACAGCAAATGTTTCCTGATGCCCAGGCATGTCTCAGGCACTGTGCTAAGTGCAGGGAAGACAGCGATGAAGAGCCAGTCTCAATCAAAAGGGACTCACAGAACTGGGTGTAGAAGACAGGCACTCTAGCAGATCCTTTGCACACAGCAATTAGATCCATGAGCGAGGAGCTGTTCCAGAGTTCTTCACCAGTTTCCCAGGCCTTGCCACTGAGGGTGGGCACCCATACCATTTTCTCATCTGCTCCTTGTCTGGCAGATGCTGCTGGTGAAAGTCTGAAAGCCATTGCAGAGGTCCCACTAGAAAGTGGTGCTGTCTTAGCTGGCCCTCCTCCTCTGCAGCCATCCCGAGCCCTCACTCTGGGCACAAGGCTCAGGGAGGGGGTGCATTCTCATCCCTGTAGGTCTGTGTTCCCACAAGTGCCTTTCTCCGCGTCCCCCAGCTTGTTATCCCTGCCTATCTGTCTTCTCCTCCTTTCCTACCAGCCCTGAGGAAGGAAAAGTAGTCTGCCCAAGGCCGCTGACTTCACCTGGTCCTATGTTCTGTCTCCTCAGGGTTCTCTGGGCCCCACCTGACCTCTGCTCCCCCTGGTGCCATTAAACGCCCCTTGCTGTTACCTCCCTCCTCTCCCAGCAAATGTGCACTGGTGCCCCGTTCCTCAAACCAGACCTTTGCTTTAGTTTGCTGTTCTTTTTGAGCTTCTGAGCCAACTGTCTTGGGTTTTTTTTCACTGCCACGTATCTCTAAGGAAGGGATCATAAAGACCATGTTTGCTATGCATAGTGTTTGTTGTTGGAATGAAAGGCTGGGGGGCTGGGCAGAGGCAGACAGTGATGCTCAGAGAGGAGGAGGGAGACAAGGGGAGCTCGAGGGGAAGAGAAATAACAAACCACACACCAGAAGAAGATGGGAGGCAGAGTGAGGAAAGAGAGAGAGAGAAAAGGTAGGCGAAGGTAGAAAGGGGACATGCATTCCCCAAGACAGACTCACAGTGACACCCAGCCCCAGAACCCGCTGCCACTCCGTCTCGCCCACAGACATACAGTACTCACACGGGCACAGACCCGCACGCAGACACTCGATCCCCTTCACAGACGTGAGTTCCTTCCCCACAGACATGTGCCTCAGGGTCCCCCACCTGGAAAGAGATGTATCGCCCCGATACATGCCACACCCTGCGGGTGTGCTCCAAAGGGCAGCCTCAGAGTCCCCCCGAGAAGGGACTCACCTGTGGGTCTTCACGTGACCCACCCATGTGGGTGCTTCAGACAGGAATACCGGGGGGCGTCTGTGTTCAGAGGTAGGTGGACCTGGGTGAATCAGTATAATTCCTTCGCCAAATAGTACCACTCAAACTTTCCATTATATGGACAGTTTCAGTTGCTAAATTGTTAGCTAGTTTAAAAACCAGCAGCTAGAGTCCAGAACTGTGGAGAGGAAAATTCTGTCAGTGATATCAGTGATAACATAGCTGCCATTGTTGAACATCTCCGAAGCCCCGGTCACTGGACCTTTTCCTTTACGTGTGTGATCTCATTGAAATCTTCCAGCAACCCTGCAAGGCAGGTATTATTCGCTCCATTTCACAGATCAGTAAACTGAGGCCCCAAGAGCTTTAGTAACTTGTCCCGGTATAGACATTGTATATGTATGATTCCATTTTTATAAAAACAAACAAGAGTTATATGTATATGTATACATAACACAAAAATTAGATGTATATGTCTACATATAGAGAGGCAGAAATCTGGAAAGAAATACACCAAAATGTTTAACAATGACTTGTGATGGGGAGGAAGGAGAGGATTCCTGTGTGCTTTTTATTTTATTTTCCATGTTTTCAAATATTTGTACAATGAAGAAGTATGGCTTTTATAATTGAAAAGCTTTATTTTGAGAAAATGTTTATTCTAACCAATTGTTCTTTCTAGCTGCCATCCCTCCCTTCTTGTTTGCTTAGAGGATTTATTAGATGTTTTACTTTCCTGTGAAAGCTGAGCCAAGATCTTTTCAGCTTCATCTCTAACTCTAGCACTCTCAAGAGCTGTGTCACCAGCCTGACTGAGGGCAATGATGTTGGCAGGACTAACTTAGAAGGGAAGATTTGGCGAGGAAGGCTGCTAAGCCCTTGTCATCCCAAATTTCCACTCCAAAAACTCGAAGCTAAGATTAGTATTTATCAGTGCCTGAGTGGGTTCTGTGATGAGGCTCCATCTTGGAACTTTCTGTGTTTATGTGATCGCACTCTCTCTCAGGGTCTCTTGTTTTCATGGAAGAACTTTTTGACATACGACCGAAAGATGATTATAGTCCGGTGGGGATTGGTGTCTGTTCGTTAACTGCAAGATGTAAGAATGACGAAACAAAAGACCCCAAGAGAAAAAACAGATCCTCCCTCCAGTCAAGGCTTGATTTGATCACCTTCAGCCCGCTACCACCGTTTTGGTCAGAGACTACAAATGTCATGAAATTTGAGTCAATGCTAATACCTTTATTGTATTGTGCTCGGGTGACTTTCACCTCCATTGAGTTTAATCCTTGCTGGTAAGAGCCAGCAGGGATA